GACTACATAATTGTATGCAGTATAGTACGTATTGTGGTTGCAGCTAAAATTCACTTGAATACCATAAACTCTAGCAATGTACTGCCGCACACGGGACCACCTCGATCGCTTGTTCAAGCGTAACGCCATGTGGTAGTGGTCAGGATTTGATCCTTCGATTTCATGCTGCTCTCTACACACTACACAGTGTTCGGGTGTCGAAATTTAAAGAATTCTGATGCATAGTGTAAATCTATGTTAAAATACATAGGTGTCCCTAAATAATTTGTCCATGATTGTAGCTAAAAATCTTTGGCAGTTGTGTTAAGATTATACATTTCCTATGATGCATTCCCTATTCTAATTTCCAATGGCGGATCCAGCTGAAATTTTGCACTGCACAAATTTTGCACAAATTAGAACGATTTCACATAGCGAGACAAAAAATGCAAATAGGTTTATTTTATGCAAATTTTATTGACAGTAAAATAAGTTCATGTAATGATGCAATACAGGCTTCATTTTCTCACTTATTACAGAATTTTTTCCAAACATATAATTAGATTTTATTATTGTTCATCACCACAAAACAAGAACAGTTTTTTATTGAGCCCAAATATAATTACGGATCCGAACTTGACTTTTTGTTGCCCTGCCTTTGCTCGGCTTTCTCAAGAAAGGAGTTGACCCTATTCATGGTTTCTATCGCCTTTGTGCACATGTTCTTGTGTGCTTTATGTGCTTTCTCAGCGTCATTCTTTCTATTCTTCGAATTCTCTTTTTTGGATGACTGTGGTAGCTCTAAGTCTGAGTCGTCGTTGTCTGAGGACTGTGAGGATGATGAAACAAACTCCTGCTCAACTTTGCTCTTTATAGCATCTCTTCGTCGTTCTGAAATAGTCCTCTTCTGCGCATATTTCATCTTTAACGAGTCATTCGTTTCCACTTCAGGGAAAGGCTTTGACTTTGGTTTYATGTCGGGCTCAGCCTTAAAAGCTCCTTTTACTATATTCTTCATTCGTGTGATTAGGGTATCGTTTTCGGCATCCATATACAATTGCACGACTCGTTCCCTCAGTCCTGTATCCACTATTCTTGACTTGACATACACAACAACATCTTTCCAGTTCTTACTATTACATTCTTTATAGCAGTTAACTACAAATTGCCGTTCTCTTTCACTGACGTTAATCCTCTTCCTTATCTTGGTAGTACCTTTAAAAACAGTGAAACTATTTTGAATATTTTATAAAATAGAKTATAGTGCGGTTTATTATTACTCGAACACCCTTGTCAGCTAATTTTCAATCAGTAAAACTGCATNTGCGTCAAGACCGATATCATCTTTTGTTTATTCTGACATCTATCTATAAAAGGTTTTCAAAAAATGTACAAAGCAAATTATTTTGATAATACTTGCTCGTGGCAAAAATTCACACTTCAAGAACATGACCACGGCATAAATGTGCAACAATGAGTCTTGTGTATCTATAAAAAGGAACGTATTTTCACCGGTCAGCACATATTCTAGCATGGCTTTGAAGGGCTGCAGCCGAATGAAAATTAAGGTCGGTGAAACGGAGATAAACATTGTTATGGATGCCTATCATAAAATGGGACACCAGGGCTGGCGAGACATCCTCCATGTTGTCAAAGAAAAGATAGAAACCTCTGGCTTAAACTCGAGAATCGTGGACTATTACCTGGAAGGAGAAGACTCGATATCGGTTCGACGCATAAAACGAATTGTAAGAGAGCAGCTAAAAAAGCAAGCTGAAGAATATCGCGCGTTTAAGACGACCAGCGAGGGAAAAGCCACAAAGAGCAATGTGAAGGAGAAAAAAAGGACTCCGGATGAGAAGATGAAGGATAAGCTTCGTTTCTTTGTTGCGTCAGATTCAGACAGCTCGTTGAGTGATTTAAAAGTTGAACAGGAAATAACAGGTTCTTCAAAGGTAGGGAATGATTTTTTTGCTACGACTATAAGAGGTATGTGGTAAGTTTCGACAGATAAGTTAACGTGTATCGTTGTTTATGATCGTTGCAGATTGGTAAGCGGGAGATACCGGATAAAATCATGAGATATGCTAACAAGATGGTACCTGAAGATAGAAAAAAGAGAAAAATTGTCGAATATGCAGTTTCTTCAGAATCAGACTCGCAAGAGGACCAAGAGGAAAAGAAACCAGCTCGTAAGAATCAAAATCTTCGACAAGCAAGCTTTGAGGCCCAAATAGCCCACACTAGAATGTGTGAGCAGGCAGGCATGGCAATGGGACGTATGGCCAATGTACTAGACAAACTTGAGAAAAAAATAGATGACATGTGATGTAAAGAAATGATGCCTTATTGATCAATAAAACGTTTATATGCATGCACATAGTGTTTTTGTTTTTTTTTTTTATTTCGAAGAGTTGAAAATGCAGATAATTAACATTTCAGCAACGTAAAACAGCTGTAAAATGCTTTCTTTGTATTAGGTTAATTTGCATTCCTATGGTACCACTTTGTAAATTAACATATCAAGGGTAAYAAAAGCGATTAGTACGGAATAGCTCTTATTAGTTTTTTTCTTGTGATGTTTATAGGCACAGCATTGGTGGTTCACAGTGCAAAATTTACTTGAGGCAAATTCAGATGGATATATCTTTAGAGGATGACCTTGAAAAATGCCAAACAAAGTCCCGCCTGCTAGGAAAATGCGGATCTGTGATAAGCTCTTCCAAATTGATCAGCTGAGAAAGCATTTCTCATCCTGCTATGAATTCAACACTAAGGATCCAGATTCTGATGAAAATCCCAAAGCAGATGATTCATCTCCTCCAAGACCTGTTACTGTTGACCTAACAAACACAGAGTCAAATGTTTCTATTACTATTGGCCGTGTAGTCACTGATAATGATGATGTAGTCAATGCTGTTACAGAGCCAAATGTCACCAAGACGGCTGATACAGAGGTAAATGCCCTTGGAACAGTAATGGACCTTACAGACGGTGATGGTGAGTCATATGCAGCTAGTAAACACATTGACAAAGGAGTCAATAACACTTTGACACACTGTAAAAGGAATGCTATTGAAAATCTATGTGAAGTCCTTAGATATCTACAACAGGAAATAGTAACTGGTCGACCACTAGAGATTACTGACCCTAGTGAGTGCTTGGAGGGGGAGACAAGTTTATTCTGGTGGACCGAAACAATCTGATGTCCATCTCATTTGATGAGATCAATGGCATTTCAGACCTCTCCAAAACATTGGAGGTGCAATTCTACAATGAGGTATTTGAAGTACCCAGTATAGAAATATATCATTGATAAACGAGAATAAAGTCTACAGTACATGACAGTACATGACTGTATACTAGAAGGATCTTTAACATGGTTTAATTCATACAGAGACATGATCAAAATAAAACATACCTATTATATACATGTGAATTATACTCTCGTAGGCAGTAAAACTTTATCAGGCATGTCTTTTTTATGTAATATTATTTTTAAACCTCACTTTATTTATACAGACTGCACAAGACAGCGGGGGACCACGAAAGGAGCTATTCCGTCTGCTTCTGAAAGAAATTAGCAAAGTATACTTTGGAAGTGAACTGAGGTCTGGTGTGGCTGAAAAGTACCATACAGTGGGAATAATTTTTGGAAAGAATGCGTACACTATATTGGGGGCATTTTCAGCTTCATAGATCTGCTAGTAAAGTATATTTTTGTGAGATAAGTAAATATCATTCATGTACTATGCAGCTCCCTATCTGTCAATTTTGTTTGCAAATTACCCCAAAAACGAGGAGCCGCTTTGCAGTTTTGTAAATGAAAAATATAGCAAAATTGAGAAAAACCATCAGGGGGAATGAATAATAGAGCTGCCGTTTTTCTTTAAATTTGTTCTCCAGGTTTACGTAACCTGCAGAATGGGAACATTCCCCTGTTCCTCACTGAAGACATACTCCAGGACATCTTCAGCACAACTTCTTCTTGCATTCGAAATCTCAGACTGGGCATTTATCAGGTGATATATCATAGAACACAATTTATTGTAACTAAATTCAAGGTTTTACAACTGTTATAATTTTGTTTACTTTTTATAAACTCAAGAATTTTGCTGAGCATTACTTTGGATGCCTTTGATATGAAAATTTGCCACTGTTAATAACATCTCTTCTCTACAACTACTAGTGTTGTCAGCATGCATTCCTTATCCAGCCATTTTTTTTATAAAATAAAAGTTTTTCCAGAATGATATTTTTCAAATGTTTTCGTAAGCACTAATTTCTATTATTATATATATATATATATATATATATATATATATTCTATTATATTGGTTGTCAGATTCCAACCTTCGTACATATCTTTAGGAACACAACTCAGGACACAGTAACATTGAAGATCTCCTCAAACCAAAATTTAGTGAGCAAGGATCTAATTCTGAGAAGTTCGAAAGAATCGTCTATTTCCAGTATGTTAGGTACTTGAGAGGGGCAGCAAGTAAGTATTGATTACATTTTCACTGTTATGAGAACAATTTTTATAAGAACTCAGTTCTGACATAACAAAAAAAAGTCAAAAAATTACAAATTACGATGCAAGGGAATGAAATAAAAGAGGAAATAAAGTCTGTATTGTTTTTTTAAAATTTGACATAAAGATATTGTAGATATTGTAGATTGTAGATAACTATAATTGTGAAATCATTCGATTCTGTTAAAATGATAATAATGTGAAACTTAAGGAATTGAAAAGGTCTAATCTGGGACGAAACTAGTTTTCCTTAAAATAAAGTTTCTTGGCGTGACTGTGTGTTAAAGACTTCACATATTGGGTTTAATCCTGTCCAGCATTATGATAATAATGTGAATGGCTTATTTAAGAAAATTAATACAACATCACACCACTAGAAGTGATTTCAGAAAAGATGACAATGATATTTTCAGTCCATATGATTCTATTTTTATTTTGCAGTTATAATCATCAAACTAATCCTAGTGTATTGTTACTTTATAGGTAGAAGGAGGGGTGACATCACACTCCACCATGTTTTACAATTTGTAACAGGTGCTGACAGAGAACCCATTTTAGGGTTCATTTTGCACCCAGCAATTGTGTTTGTCGATGCAATTTCACAAAAATCTTATATACCTACAGCCAATACATGCATAAATTCACTCTCCTTGCTGAGACCAAACTTGGAGAACCTCTTACCAGAGGCAAAACTCCTATTGCCCATTACGATTATGCTTTCAGTTCATCGTACTTTGGTAACAGATAGATGACATTTATAGTTATAGGAAACACATGTGCATTTTTTTAGTGATCGGTAATAAGTCTTAAAACTCCACTTCATTTGGGCGTTAAACCACACTTTTTGCATACATATAGAAAATCATCACATTGGAGAATAGCAGATACCTATAAGGGACTTGAAATGTGTACCGCCCATACATTTATTTAGCACCAAGCATCAGAATATTTATAGCTCATTAAAAATTCGAAAATGAACGTCATGACCATATTTGGAAAATTTGTCCTTTGGATTCAAGGCCTGTCCTGGTTAGCTATACCATAAATTTATTTAGTGTGGGGCCATATGTCCAAAAAATGCTTCCCGTGGGAATTTCATGATCATTTTGGTTTCTTACTTTAAATCAATACTCTAGAGTAAGCTGAACTCAGAAAAAATTGTCACCATTTTTTTCGAGCATGGTGACGTCATTTTTATGCAAATTAACAATGACGTCATCAAGAAAAATATATACATTTTTGAATTTAACCAAATTATCACAAAAATTGTCAAAAATTAATAATCATGAATGCCAATTGTCAAATTAAGTGTTTTATTAAATCCTGATTGAATAATGTGTCTAAAATTGAAATATTTCAAGTCAAATTGTAGCACTAAGGCTGAATATTCACCATTTCCAGGCCTTTAAAACTATTAAATTTTTGCTTTTTACGCCACATATTATAGAATTAAAATATTTGGCATTAGAATATTCCCTTCTTTCGAATAATGTGCAAGCAAAATCCATAGTTTTAATTTTATTTAGTTGACCGGGCTTCCTGTGGAACCTTGTTAATTGTATTCCACCTTTTTGCTACCT